TTTGGTTAACTATTGTTGCTAACCAATCCAACCACGCTTTCTTCTTTTCTTGCACAACCCTTTGTACGTCTTTATCCATCCACACGTTATCATTCTTTCTTCCTTTCCTTCTTTTAGCTACCCCGCATACCTCAATAGCAACATTCACGACCCCTTTCTTAAATGTCTCCCACAAATCTTCAATCACTCCTATCTCTTCTATCCCTTTAAAACTTTCTTTCAGTTTCTCTACTACTCGTCTTTCTTTTCTTTTTCTTGTAGATTTTCAACTTTTACTCTGTCCAAAACACTCGTAGGCTCGGCCCCTCTGTGTTGACACCGTTTAAAGAGGCCACGCATTCGGGGTATGACCAGGAAGTGGTCTGTGTCGAAGCCTACACCGCGGTATGCCCGAGTGTCTAGCACTTTCTTCCTCAGTCTTTCATCCACAATTACAAAATCAATCATACTTCTAGACTCACCCTCATCTCTTGTATACAAATGGATCTTTTTGTGGTCAAACATTGTGTTGGCCACGCACAGATTCCATTCCAAGCATACTTCAAGCAGGCTTCTCCCATTGTCATTCACTCTCTTGTCCCCAAACGTACCCAAAACTCCTTCATACCCATCACGCTTTACTCCAACCCATCCATTAAAGTCCCCTAACATCACGATCCGATCATTTTCTCCGCATTTATTCAAGACCTCTCTCATGCTATCCTAAAATTCCTCTCTCTCTTGTTGTGATTTTAATGACCCACCTTCACGCAGTCCGTCGGTGCATAGACCCCAAGGATAAACAAGCGAGTGAGTCCGACTTTTAACCTAATCCAGAGGAGTCTTGGGCTTACACATTCATGCTCCATTACACATTCAACCGTGAGACCAGGCTTACACATTCCAACTCCCTGACAGCCTCGGCTGGTTTGGGGGACTCCCGACCAGTATGCCGTGTAGGGGCCATGAACCGTGGTGTCACATCCTTTCCTCTTGGTTTCGTTCACGCACAGAATATCAATGCAACGTTCATCCATCATCTGACATACTTCATCTACCTTACCACCCATTCCTCCTCTTACATTCAACGTAGTGAAGCGGCTCTCCGTGGGCCGCTTTTTGCCCCCGCGAGAAACGAGACGTGATGAGTGGCGAACCACATCGCCGCCATTTTGGTGCGATGACAGCGCCACCACAAACTGAATTAAAATGCGAACTTACACTCCACCTGATGGTAAGTGCTTACTGTATTCCATGAACACGGAACACCTGCAGCAAACTTCATAGAAAGTGTAGATGAATGTCTCAGCCCGTAATAATACTGGCTCTCTGTATCCTTCGAATGAATGAAAAATAAATGATTTCTATTCTGTCAATACATAGTATTAAAAAAAACATGCGTGAGTGTCGTGGAACACTCTTTTGGAACGAATTTACTTTCGTAGTATATTATTATTGATAAACGTATTATATTATTGGTTAACAAATACAAATAAATGAATTACTAGCGTATATTAAAATGAAGCGACGTTTAAAATAATATATTATTTTTTTCATGGCAAGATAGGAAAAAGTGCCAAGGAGATGGATATTATTCCATCTCGCTTCCTTATGGCCGCCAAGGCCGTCTACACTACGTCAGAAGGGGTCGTGACGGAAAAATCTTACACTTTTTATCGCCTAGCCTCTTCGTTCCAAAAAATATGACCAATTATTAGAAAACTGATAGTTATTGAACTTTAACAATTTGAACGTAAATATCAAGATTATCTTTGGCTGACAATGACGTTTATGGGTATTACAAAAATGTCTTACCCCTAGGCATAGGATATACTAGCGTGGTATATTCTAAGTCTATGGTCTTATCTCTAAGCATTGTCATAGTACTCATTTTTGACAGCAGGTAAAAGTAACAAAGCGTCAAAAATAATTTTCGTGGCAGACATCGTGGTGGGCGGAGTTTGTAGAAAAAAGTATAATATTTCTTAAGGCCGGACCTTCCGCGTTGAAGTGATATTGGCAAGCTGATGAACTTTGTGTTTTTGGCTATTTGAGCAGTGATAAGATATTGCTTATGCTATGTAATTAAATAATTTGCGGCTAAAAATGTAGTGAAGTGAAGTAATTTTGAACTGTCCAATCACTGTACAACTTGGCCATAAAGGCTGATTTACACAGGGTCAGTGATAACTTCTTGAGGGTGTACGCACGTTATTGAAGTCAGTGGGCAAAAATGAATTCATGGAAACGGCAGAATTTACAATAGGCAGAAATATTTGTGGAGAAAGTGTTCCTATTTGCTGTTGAATGAGTTAACGTAAATGTTAGAAGAAGAGATATTTAAAAATAAACGACTTTGGGTAAGAAAATGGATAGAAGAAACTGGAAGTTCTCCTTTCTTGTTGATGCGACGTCGCACTACAATGCAGCGCGCTAGCGACTGACCAAGTACTGACTTGGTCGTTTAGACAAGGTTTGACAAGACATTACCGCGTTGCGCGGGTGGCGGGGGGAGTGGACTGACTTCAAAATGTTCAAGCAGGAATATTGAAGTCAGCACTGGCGCGACAGTGCTGTACTGACTGCAAATCAATTTATACTGTCAGTATCGGGTCAGCACTGACTTGTCTGGAATTTGGAGCCAGCTGCCAGTTACCTACTGACCCTGTGTAAATCAGCCATAACAATTAGGAGGCGTAAGGCGAATGCGATTTCTGCCCCCGCACCCCGCCTCTATCCCCGCGTTTCCCCTAGTGACCAATCACCGTTCCGGTGTTCTCTCCCTAGTTCTCATGACGTCTTAGCTGTAATGGGCCTAATTGTTTTGGTCACGTAGTAAGCAAATTTTTAAATAAAATCTATTATTGGGCAATGTCCAATATTTATGTTTTATTTTGCTTTAGAAATTTTGTAATTTTTAGACGTTCATGTTATGGTTGTAAGGTTTGTGTTTCAGTCATTGGTCGACTATCCAATGACTGTCATCCTATATATTAAATGATTGTTGTTACAGATGAATTGTAAAAGAAAACCTTGAGGCCTTTCTTAAGATTAGTACCCAAATTAGACGGTTGTTCCTCTGTCTATTGCGTCTGACAATACGTCCTAGGTAAACATCTCCAACTCCGAACGTAGTGTTCCCAACAACTACCGACATAGCACATAAAGCATAGTGTTGAGGTTCTCAAGCGATTCCTTCATGACTTTATCGTCGTCAAATCGAAGGTTTTCGTTATCGTTATTCGCCATTGATGCTAATACCGTATACTTTACAGTTCAATAGCCAATAAGTGGTAAAATTAAAAATTTTGTACAACCGACTTAAATATAAATATTTATTGTTGATTTTTTTAAACGCCCGACCGATTTCGATTAAATTTAAATGGGACTATGTATAATCCATAGTTGCCCCGCTTGGCAGGCTGCTTGGCTACCTCATTTTCAGGTGTTATCTAGATAAGGCTGTTGCCTATCTGCTGGTTTAGTTTCCCTCTGTCGCCTTTTACGACACTCACTGAATGACAAGGATATAAAGGATCTTCTTACGCTACCACTCTACGACTGCTTATGTATAATATTATTATTGTATTTCATATAAACTTTGTCATTTTAAATAAGAAAATGAATACATTTAGGAAATAAAGTTCCAGAATAAATTAAATAAAAACTTTCACAATAATGTACGTAAATAAAAACACCTATAATTAGCAAAATAAGTGAGTATAGTATAAAAAAATACTAAACGCGCTCGACCGCCGCGCGTCTTTACTATTTATAAAGTATAAAAGATATCTAACCATCAATCTGAATTCTGACCTACATAGTCCCACAGATCGGCAAAAATAAATTATTATTTGCGGAGTTACGCACATTTTTATAGCGCCTTCCGTATTTCTAAACGTGAGGTCAAAGCTTTGGTCGAAAAATGTTTATTTACAGTATTTTTTACAGAAATCATTGTTTTATTAAACTACCAAAACTATTTAATATTTATATGAATAATTAAAATGAAAAAAAAAATGTAAATTTTAAATGTACATAACTGGTTTTACTGGAAACGGGCCTTACGTACGATTTGGCTGAAATTTGGTACTTAGATGTTATTATACTTTACTTACAAATTTACACCTATCCAGAAAATTACAATTTTTTTCTAATTTCGAGCAGTTTGGTCACCCAGGAACTAATATTGTACACATCATACAGCTTGCAAAGATGATAGGAAGAATAAAGAATGAATTAGAATGCTTTATTTTGCGTTTGCGCTTATGCTATGCGTGACCGCACATGACCCTGAGCGAGTTATGGTTGTAGTACCCATGAAGCAAATACAAAGAGGTGTTGTAATTAGATTTCACTATGTAAACAACGCGTGACAATTTGCGGAGTGAAGGGATGTTAAGCCCCGCCCACTTTACACTATTCTGCATCTACCGATAAATAGTAAAACTACTCGAATCGTTCTATATCGATGTTGCAATGTAGTTTAGCTACCTTGACGATAGATGGCGGCCTATTCACAAAATAATTATAAACTATAAAAATAATATTTAGGCGATTAAAATTTCTTCATGTCTGAACGTAAAACAAATTTCAGCACCTTCGTATGATTATTTTGCCAATATTGAGCTCTACGTACCTTTATATTCTTAGTTTACATGACTCAAAGTGTCGCCATCTAGTGTCGAATATATTTAATTATATTTTAAAGCTGACGTAAAAAGATTTTTCTAGAACTATTTTAATAAATTAGGTGTATAATTACTTACAAATGAAATATGCTAACTAAAGCCACGCCCGCTATGATGACTCTTTGTATTTGCTTCATGGTAGTACCTCCGTCCGCCGTGCTACACCGCACCGCGGTATCCGTGCGGGGCGCGGGGGTGAAATCGTAAAATTAGCTACCTTAGTACACCCTCTTAAGTATCCAATAACTGTCTGTTTACTCTACTTCATTTAAAAAAAATGTGAAAACAATTTTTTCTTGTTTTAGGACAAAAGAAACAATTACAAGCACCATGTCAGCGTTAGACAAATTCAAGAGGCGCCTGGTGCGCGATATCGCGCGTCGTATATATCAAGAGAAGCAGTCTGAAGATGAAATGTGGCAACAGCTGAAACAGGAGTATGGCTGCGATTGTCATCTATTATGGTATGTGCCGTTGCTGTGATATGCTTTTTAACATACGCTGAACCTATATAGCAGTAATCATCAACACTTGTGGACACGCCCAGCATGACAAAAATAGGCATACCTTACAAAATATACTGTGACTCCAGCAGTGGAATACAAAATAGCCGACTGATGTAAAAAAAAATACCTTGGTGGTTAGGGAGTGGGCGCTCGTTTCAAATTTCATAGCAAGCTTGCAACCGGAATCTGAGTGGTACAAGAAACTTGTTAATTGCAATTTTAAGTGCTGATTTACCTCTTTATCATTGACGAATGAAACCATCGTAAGGGAACTTGCATGTTTGTGAAGTGTGAAGTCTTCGATAAAAAAAGCCATAGGGCAGCGCAGCAAACTTAATTCTTCCTAAACAGTCTGAGGAACCTGTGTCCAACAGTGGAATATCATCAATACAGCCTATCCAAGTCCACTGCTGAACATAGGCCTCACAGATAGATTGTTTCTAAGGGTTATTGTCAAAGTTACTAAGCTAGACAGGCTGGTTGGCAACCACAGTTTTTATTATTTTGACTTGCTGTCAGGAAAGTGATCCTATCTGCTGAAACTATGCGATGATGTGGGACAGTGAATTACTTTTACGCCGGCTCTTCACGGCGATACATAGTAACACTGAAATGTGGTACGTGCCACTAGGCTATTACTTTACCACATGTGTACATATTTCACCAAAAGATAATAAAATATATTTCTTCTGATTTTTGAAGGGAACATATGAGGGCATTGACTTTGAAGAAGTTAAAACGACTGCTGGCTGCCGAGGATCGCGTCGGATACATCACGGGGATAGCTCGTATGACCTCTACCGACTGGCTCACGTTCGATCTGGTGCTCGTACATGAGAAGGTCGACGTCATTGGAGAGGTAATTAATATTAGCTCATGTCTTATTTTTTTTCTTTTTAAAAAAACGTTACCTCCCACACTAAGATTTTCTCCTGTATCGTGGAGGCAGTTTACAAACATAGATTGCACGAGGACAAACATCTAGACTCGGAACAATTACTTGCAGGTCATACAAATACTTGTTCCGTACGGGATTCGAACCCGCGGCCCTCAGGACAGTAACTCATTGCTAAGCCACTGCACACAAAATTTGGTCAAACAAATTACATATATGATATCGAATGTAGTTACGTAGGCCATGTACATTATGGTGCCAAGTGTTTTTCTAATAGCGTAGTCATTATTATCATCATTAACGTGGTAGAGCCATGCTTAACATGGTAGAGCCATGCTGCAGCTATATTAATTGTATAGTTGTAGCACGAATGAGTCGGCTCGACCGGGGAACGACCACGCTCTCACAGAATACCAGCCTAAAATAGCAGCTTAATGCTATTGTGTTTCGTATGATGAGTGCAGAGGACCGGAGAACCTTTTTACTGGAAAAGAGGCATTCCATCTTAGTCCACACGGCTGACAACGCATCTGTATTTCGAAAATGTAGATGTCTATGGGCCACAGCAATCACTTACCATCAGGTGGACTGATGAAAAAAAAAGGTGACAACACATTTTTAGCCTCCTTTGCTTGAAGTTGGCGGCCGGCGTCCATGAACTACAGTAGCTACTTACCATTAAGTGAATTGTAAATTAGTTTGTCACTTTAGTATTGAGACTCGGATACAACCTCACCTGCATACGGTCTACCATGTGTACCATACTCGATTAGACTTAAAAATAATCTTATTTGAAATGAGCTCTGTCGTCGTAAATAAAGTTAATGAGAAGCGTAAGCGTAAGCGTTCGTTTAGATATTGAAATAGTTTTTACCATTAATTGCAGCCAAACGTTGGCTAAACATAAAGCCTCTCCCATAGATTGCCTTATAGATGGAATATTTGCCATAATTGACACGCTTGGCAGGCGAGTTGGCAACCGCAGTCTTATTGTTTTGAAGTGTTATGAGGAGGTTAGTGCTGCCCATCTTCTGTTTAAGTTTACTTCTGTCGACTCATACAACTTACAGGCTTAGTGGGTTAATTCCTAACGCCGCGCCACCGTTACACGACAAATAGTTTAGTGTCTCTACGACCGGTCTTCACATCTCGCATAACTCGACCGCTGCTATTGAAGTACTATCATGTTACTTCAATAGCAGCGGTCGAGTTATTACTAATATGTACTGCGTATTAGAACAGGCACCGCGAACAAAATCTGTTCGGCAGTGCGGGGCTCGTTGTCGGAGGCACATAGAACCTTTTTATGGCACAAAGTAAGTTTGAGCCCATGGGCTCTAACGCGTGTTGCATGCCACCAAATCCCTGCGTCTCTTATAGTAATCTATGCATCTATGCAAATAAATAAAATTGAAGTGCCTGTTTGTAATGTTAAAATTACAGCTTTTTACTAAATGCATATGAAAGTATATACAGTACTAATAACAAAAATACAATTTTTAAAGATTTTGTCTGTCTGTCTGTCTGTCTGTTATTTTAGAAAAAGATTTAGGGTTCCGCGCAAAAAAATTAAAACTTGGTATATAAAACTTTAATGATTGCTGCATACAAATTTGCCCATCTATCCATGTTTCTAATTAATGCATAGATCGCATACCATGCTAAGTAATTAATTACTGTCTTGTGGTTTATGTTGTGTATGTTAAAGATGACGTAATATCTCCATAGATTTACTCTATACCGGAAATTTGTTTTAGAAGATGCCATATTTTCCGCAGTCATGTTGCTTAGTTGGTTTTATTTTGACTAATTGATTATTTAATCGTCTTTTTACAGGACATGACATTAGGTGGGAAACCGGAGCCGGAAATTTTCATAAAACTATTGAATTTGGTAGAAAAATACGGTATCGAGGTCCTAGCGCCAAAGTTTCTAGTCGATGCGTGGTTCAATTTAACAATTGAGTACAACACTGGGTACGTATGTTTTATTTTAACTTAAATTTTGTAATGATCACGAAGATGATAGCATTGTGGGATTAATAAAACTGGCAACACATTAAAAAAAATACTGGACTAGTCTAAGGCGTTTAGATGAAATATCAAAGGGACTTACTTCATGCTATTTTACGTTAAGATTTTTTGTAATCAGGCGTTAATTGGAAGTTGTGTTTGAGAACAGCCAAAATGTTTTTTCTTTAAATATTATAGAATGAAATAGAATAATATTTTATTCAATATAAATCACATGTAATTCTTATTGAAAGTAATTTTATAAGTAATTTTTATAAGACAAATTATTCAAATAATAACAGAAACGGTTGTTTATTTGGAACAATTTCACATTTCAGTGGTCGACAATGTTCCCCTATGCTACTTCAACGTCGTTGGTACCAGCTGAAGGAGTCGACGAGGTCGAAGTTCTACAACTTCTGGCAAAACTACCGTGGGAACCCTAAACTGTTACAGAAAGCCAACGAAAACAAGCCCACCAAGGTGCAGATGATGATAGCGGAACGGTGGGTTTACGTTTCGGTTACAAAATTCACCCTAATAAAGAAACAAGTCTAAAATGGCGGCTTGTGTTTATAATTCCTAAACATAGAAGTAATATGTACTTAGTAATAGCAGAGACATCCAGACTTGGTTGTTTGCAACACGCGTCGCGCTGATTGGTTCGTGCGTATCGTTCGCACGCGATCATTGGCTCTCCAGCCGCATTCGTGCAATTCGATTCGTGCGCGTCCCCTCCACGTTTCGTTCAGCGTTAGACTTACGTGCCGCGACTTGTAGTATACAGGGCTATTTTACAATAACCGGCCAAATTTGCAGAGGAGGTTCAGAATAAGTAATATAGGCAAATGGTGAAGAAAAATTCATTTAGAAAATCTCAAACATTCTGTCCTTTTTATTTTTTTAATTCAAAATTGGTAATGGATTAATTTCATATATTGATTTGATTCATTACTGATTGTCATATAGAAATATCTAACGCCTACTATTTTACTACGAACATTCGTAAGGGTCGATCGGTCGGCAAAAACGTTGTGAATTGAATCGCATACAGAGGAGCGCGCGTACGCGTAGTTGTTGCCCATAAAACACATTCAATTTGGGATAATTTCAAATAAAAGTAGAAGCCTAGTTTAATTCGTATTTTGAAAAACTGCAATAACAGTATATCATTATTTATATATTTGAACTTAAATTTAAAATTTTACTCTTTGAAAAATAACCCTGTAATATTAATTCAATGTCAGGAACCTTTGTATTTTTTATTTGGTGGACATACGTGTGTGAGTTAAAACAAGAATAATGTAGGAGTGAGAGGGTATGATTAGTGCCGCCATTTTTGATTCGGTACTCTATTGGCGGCTACCTTGTAACAGTGCCTTACAGTGTTAACACTTTCACTGTCCGGTTTACAGACACAATAGTAAGACAATAGCAATGACCTATATATAGTGCACGGGACAGCGAAAGGGTTAAAACTTATGTAGATCATTTTACTTCAAGCTTAAAAATCATATTAAAATGCTAGCTCCTCCAATTTTCTGAAATTTTACCGATCCAAATTTGTACACATTTATAATCTTGAATTTCTTGAACCACTCCTGGTAAACTTAACAGGTTTGTATTAGGCGTGGTTCACGACAGTAGTCGAATGTTGGATTCGTATCCACGACCTTTTGAGTTCACGATCCGCACCCTGCTATTAGACTAATGTCGATTACCAAAATCTTGATTACATGGATGTATATAATTCTTTCAGGTTTCAACACGTGGTAACGCAGCCATTTCAGCATTGGGAGAGTCTGATCCAGATGAAGCGAGTAGTACAGGCTGGCGCATTTGTAAGTTTTATAATATGGACTTTTCCTTTACCTTTTAATTTCAAATGGAATGATATTATTAATCGTTATACATTGAAAAAAAAAGTTATTGAAACAGAAACAGAAACTTTTTTATTCAATATAGATTATCATCATCATCATTACAGCCCTTCACAAGTCCACTGCTGAACATAGGCCTCCCCCAAAGAATGCCACAAAGCACGGTCCTGAGCCACCTGCATCCATCGACTTCCTGCATATCTTACCAGGTCGTCACTCCATCTAGTGGGGGGACGCCCTACACTTCGCCTGCCGGTACGAGGCTGCCACTCGAGAACCTTTCTTCCCCATCGGTTGTCGGTTCTTCGAGCTATATGGGCGGCCCATTGCCACTTCAGCTTACTAATCCGTTGGGCTATGTCGGTCACTCTAGTTCTACTGCGGATATCCTCATTTCTGAGTTTATAAATAATACTTATTGAAAGTCACTCTTTTGTATAATTACCACTGGTTCGAAAAAAAACCTCTGTCCTGGGAAGAACCAGCAAGAAACCCAGCGGGACTTTTTTTTTAAATAACAGCTTACAATCATGTATGTTACACAAATTAACAACACAACAAATTAGAAATAGCTTGGTAACGATCACCTCATTTCCAGGGGTTATTATCATCTATAAATTCTTTGATATTATAATAACCCTTTTTATACAAACTTCGTTTAATAAAGTTTTTGAACTTTGGGCAGGTCAAATTTTGTATATTTTCTGGAATTTTGTTGTAAAATCGTATACATCGCCCCAAGAATGAATTACTGACTCGATAGAGTCGAGTAACAGAATGAATATCACTTATTTTTGTAAAACTATTTTTATTTTTGTGTACGTACGTTACATTTTCATAAATGTATTGAGAGGCCAAAGTTAATATATTAATTTCCTTAAATTTTTGTCGCAGCGACTCTTTAGGTTTTAAATCATAAATTGCTCTTATGGCCCTCTTCTGTAAAACAAATATAATTTCAGTGTCAGCTGCGTGTCCCCATAGTAAAATACCATACGACATTATGCTATGGAAATAGCTAAAGTAAACTAGTCTAGCTGTTTCAACACTAGTTAGAATTCTAATCTTTTTTACGGCATATGCTGCCGAACTAAGTCTGCTTGCTAGTTTTGATATATGGGGGCTCCATTGAAGCTTCGCTTTTCCTTACATCTTTACCTTGACGATATCTAAACCGTGTAGTGGCGGTGTAAGGCTGACATCTATAGATCGTACTTTGACTTTGCTCAGACTTAGCTTACGAAAAACTAAGCTGAGTATATGCTAAGCATAAACTTTGATTCTGAATTTATAGTTGTATCGGGCTAAGATCAAGCTAAGCTTATGCTAAGGCCCAGACAGTCCAAATATTAGCGGATGCTTCAACGAAACGATAAAAAACGATAAAATCAAAATTACTGTATAAAATTAAAAAAATATAAATATTTAAAATCAAAAACAGTCCAAATTGTATTTCATAAATAAGTTATTATTGCATGAAATAGAACGGTAACGGATGAGATGAGTGCAAAATCAAAAAAAAAAAAGATTTTAAGAAATTCAAAATGAGATTGAAATTACGTAAATAGAAAATGGAATTATGCTATTTAAAACTAGAAGACGGCCTAGAACTACCTATTTATTGTTATAATTAATTAGAGTAACATAAAAACAACTACATTTTTAAAATTTATACGGTGGTTTGAATAATTTCCTGAGTTTTACGTAAGTCGTCGATTTCGTTGACTTCGCACTCAGCACGACTTCGAAGTTAGCTCTATGAATACCGACATCGTCTTAGCTCGAATGTAAAGTCTGAGCAAAGTCAAAGTACGGTCTATAGATTTCAATATCCGATATCCGATAACCATCGTCCCGTGGGTGTCATAAGAGGCGACAGAGGTAAACTGAAACAGGAGATGAGCAACAGCAGCTTCCTCATAACAACTCAAAATAATAAAAACCGCGGTTGCCAACCCGTCTGCCAAGCGTGGCAACTATACTGGCGTGACTTTTATAGGCTGTAATTGTTAATAGATACCCTTGACTGGACGATGCTTTAAGATGATATTTATCGGTTATGATCCATATATCCTCATTAACTCAATAAATATTTAGTAATCTACTACTGCATTTTACTAGAATTTAACGTGCCGACCATTTTGTACAATCTACTGTAGCCGATACTAGAGGCCGATATGACTTAACACCTTGAATAAAATATCACCTCTTTTGTAAAAGGTAGGCAACACTAGAGGTTCATGGGCCAGAAGTAAGCAGCGATTCCTCTTTTAGACGGTTTACCCCCCTTTTCTATAAAATAATATGTTAAAAATAGTAAAATAAACATATTAAAATTTTGTCAATACCACAAATACAAGTGATGGAAATTTGTAAACGTAATTACAACAATCGCACGTTTAAATAACAGATTTAATGTTGCTTTTTAACCGCGTGGTGGCGGTGTAAAAATATCCCATACTATCGTTGTATACGTCATAGATGCAAGACCTATGGTACTGCGATTTTTAATCCACCAACAAGCGGTGATAGATTCTCTAATGTCACTTATGGGTGTATGAATGCGTACCCATTTTTATTTTGCAGCATCGCAATCACTGACCTACTACTAAATGGACCTCGGGTCCGCGCTCTAAAGTGTCCGAGGCAAAAGAGTTCCAATCGTGCGCCAGTCTTTGTTTTGTCGACCGACTTAACACACGTCCAAAATGCGGTACTGTATTGTGAAAACGTGCAAAAACTCTTTGAGTACAATATTTTCATTAAGGACTATTAATATTTTATAATTTAAAAGTATTTTGCTTAGAGACAGTATTAAGTTTAATTAAATTGATAATATAAAAACAAATTACCGTACCGAGAATTTTCGCTAGTAGCTTCATAAGGTGAAAATAGTGCAGCCCTATAGTCGAAGTTAATAGGCTGATAAATTGTCGCAATTTTCCTAATTATAATATGGTTTGAATTAGGATGTTATAGTTTTCTTATAATCCTATACATGTACCTACGCTTATATATGTATACTCGTGACACATTTTTCGTGAATTTTGTTCTACAGCCGCCGTCCATTTTGTAGTAGGTCAAAGATAGCAATCATGAAATGTACACTAATGAGAAAAAAAAGTAAACAGTAAGCTTGTACACATATTGCATATGAACAAATACCCAGACCCGGTAGTTATTTATAGGTCGTTCAAAATAAATAAATAAGTAGTTGTTCTGTGGTGGAATCCAACCCACCGCCGTTTATTGCAGTTATTCCAAATTTTCTTTTACATCCTCAATGCACAATATCCAACTCACTGTTTAAGGTTAAAGCGCCGGGGTGGCCCGCGAAATTAAAATTTTCTTATGTTTTTTGGAATTTGCAAGTCAGGGTCAAGTTGTATGTTTAACAAAATATGATTCGCGACCGTAACGAGTATGTGTTTCCAGAATTGTTATCATTAAAACCATCTGACTGACCCGCAAATTGCAAAAACCATAAGAAAATTTGAATTTTCTTATGTTTTTTGCAATTTTTTTTATGTTTATCGTTATTTTTATATATATATATAATAGTTGGTGTGTCTGATAGTGACCGACTGACTTCTAAATGACGTGACTGATTGAATTCTTATTCACACTATATTATATTATTTGTTTTGTCGAGACGATGTTTCATAACTATGCTTAGGGATCCCATAGGTGGCACTGTATTCAATAAATAAATAAATAAATATATATATATATATATATATATATATATATATATATATATATATATATATATATATATATATATCTGAACCAAAATGACGCATAGTCACAATACATTACGTTTGGTTAGTACCAAAAAAGAAAATAACAAAATTTCGACCTGATAGGTGGCGCTTTGGCCTAGTTTTAATAAATGTTATATTAACACTGTTCTCTTACGGAGTGATGAATTTATTATTATTAAGCCTCCGAGAAGATAATTTAGGCATGAAATACTAGAGCAAACTTGTCCGAATATCTTGTGCTTAAGGGGCCCATTATTTGTTGATTATTGTGTTTCTGTTCTTATTGCTTTTGATTATATGCGAGTAGGTTAGGAGATTAATATGTCCTGCGTATTTTATTGGTAATTTACTTGAAATATAATAGTAAAATCTCAGTTTACACCGAATTTTAAATATAACTACTAAAATATCTTATATTTAATATTTTTATTTAACATAACAATAGTGTCACTTTCAGGAGAGCAGAAGAAGAATAAAGGAGTCTGCAGACAGTAACAATGGTTGGTACTCTATCTCATAATTTTGACATAATTTTATTTAATGAATACATAACAAAAGTAACATTAATTGCTATGCAGATGACGGCACTGGTGATGCTCTATACACCGGCCTTGCCAATATATCTCGGGAAATGTCGCCGAATACAGGAACAAACTTGTGTCTGAAGTCGAGTCTTTGCTGAACAAAGTCTCGGATTGGGGGCGACTTAGGGACGACTTAGGGACCTTCAAAAAAAGAGCCTACTCCTTTTTAAAAGGCCAGCAATACATCTGCGATTCCCCTGGTGTTGCAGTTGTTCATGGGCGGCGGTAGTCACTTACCATCAGGTGAGCCGCATGCTCGTTTGCCACCTTTCCCATATAAAAAAAGTTACGTTACGTAAGAGCTACGTGTATGTGAAACAGTAATGTCCTAATATTATCCAAGAGGTCTTGCTGAATAAAATCAATCCCAAACTTATTTGTATATTACACTACTTCTTTAATTGTTTTATATGAATTCACATATTTCAGAAAATGATCCAGATCTCATAGTTGTAGAGCCTACGGTAGAAACAATAGAGGTTGCTGCAGATTCTGACAACGAAGATACACCGGGAATAAGTGATAAATCAAGTACGAATGATGATATTTCAAAAGGTAACCAATTGCAGCACGAAGAAGATTTAGGTGTCACAATAAAAACTGAACCCACTGATGATGTAACAGAAGTGGAGGAGCAATATGCTATAAATGAATTAGAAAACATACAAATTCCAGTGGAAACTACTAATCATGTATTAGAAGATGTAAAAGTTATTCAAGATAGTTCCGAGACAGTGGCTGTTGACGCTTTTAGAGAACCATCCGAACTTACTTTACCAAAAATTACGAGTGTAATGGGTAATGTTGAAATTCCCATAGAATTTCATACAGAAATCAATGAGACCGAGGACGAAAACATTCAAGGAAATGTCGATAGAAATCTTCCCGATGATGCAATGTATTTGGAAATAGACAAAAACAACTCACATGATTCAATAAACATGATTGAAGAAAAGAATAATGAAGTATCTGAAAATCAAAGTGAAGATACTCAAATATCTTTTAAAACAGATGTTGTTAGTACAAACAGCTCTTTAAAAGAAAACGTGACTGATTTAGATGAAAGTAATAAAATGTTAGAAGAACAAAGCGAAGATATTAAATCATTTTTGAAAAAAGAAGTTGTGACAAATTTTGATGAGTTACCGATAGATTTAGAATTCGTAGACGACGGAATTGAGCTTGTGGACAACGACGTTGAATACATTGGGGAAGATAGACCAGTGAATATAGAAGGTATGAAATTCTGTTTTTTTTTTTACTATGCTCCCAACAACTACCACCATAAGCCTGACTCGTGGCGATTAAAGCAATTATTACCTGGATTGTGACGCTGCTATGTCAACTGTGGACTGTTTCTGGCTGATAAAGAGATCATTACAGTAAACGGTAATTTATTCGTATTTTAATTATTTTAATAGTGGGGGTGCTTTTAAGTAAGGTGATATAATTCGGTAAAAGTAATCCAACAAAAAAAAATTAATGAAATGGCGAAACTTACATGGCATAGTGTGCGGTGCGGGTAGTCGTCTTTTTTATATAGGATAGGATGACAAACGAGCACACAGTCCACCTAATGGTAAGTGGTTGCTGTGGCCCATAGACATCTACATCTATCCTCGTTTGCGAATTAAAATGCAGATGGACTTAAGGACTCAGATGGAATGCCTCCAGTAAAAAGGGTCGCAGGTTCTCTACTCTCACCATACGAAACACAACAGTGTTAAGCTGCTATTTTACGCTGGTATTCTGTGAGAACGTGGTCCTCCCCGGTCAAGCCGACCCATTCGTGCTACAATTATACTACTAATATAGCTACAGCATGGCTCTGCCACGTAAAATAAACCAACATCTTGTCTACCACCCAAGTTTAAACGTTTAATAATATATTAAATATTAAGCAAATTGTTATAATAACGTATGTTTTAAATAACAATTACATATAAATGTAAGTGTTCATTAATCATAAAAGTTTTAAATATATTTTGTTGCGGTTCTTACCTATGTGCCCCTTTCCGATTGGACATTGTTTTGTATATATTGTATATTATGGTAAATACAATAATGGACGGAATGACTACCAGTTTTACCAAGTTGACAGCTATCGTGGATATCATTCGTTTTACAACGTTTTTATAAGTCACTTTCTAGTTTGTCTGTCGTTCCGGGCGGAATTTACTATTTGATTTTAAACTAACTTCCCTGTAGCAAAATTCAGATGACAATGCACAAGAATATGATAAAAAAACGTGGTAGTTATTTTTTTATTTTAAAAAAATTCCACTTCTTTATAGTTTTCTTATATATTACTTGTTTATAGTGTAAACGATTGTAGAATGTCAACTTGGCTAATCCCGCTTCAACGCGGTCAGAAATGCAGAAAGTCAATGGATGCAGGTAGCTCAGGGTCGTGCTCTGTCACATACCGCGGTTTAGCAGTGGATCTGTGATGGGTTATAATGATGATGATGATGATGACGAATAATTAATGATAATAAAGACCATAATGTGAATAAAACAAATTGAAGCAAGTCGTGATGACTTGCTTCTGAACAAAGTTCAAATGTCAAATGTTGATAAATAGGTTTTGTCGCTTTATACTTTTTATGTAACTACGTCCAATTATACGTCCAGTTATCCTGTGTTGCATCGTCCAGTCTTATAATTATCAATATCGCTTTATAATTTAGTATGCAATTCATAGCGTTCGATCAGAAACTACCGTGATTAAAAATCTATCATGACCACCATCATCAAGATTATATATTTTATAATATTCACTTTTACAATTATCTTGTGTTATGTGTAACTCGTTCCATTGCTGTCGTAGTGGATGTGAATGAAATAAAATATTTCTTTTTTTATCTCTATGAAAATTCGATAAATTATACTTCAATGTATTTACTTGTACAATTTACAAAGAGTTATTTAAAAAGGAATTATATTATTTTTCAGGGGGTGATATTAAAATAGAAATTAAACAAGAACTGATCGATGAGTGTGTAGAAGAGAACGATGTCTCATTTAAAATTGATCAAAAACTTATTATGTTTCCCATTACATTTACAAAAAAATTAGATGATATGAATATATTTAAAAATACTAGCTACTTTCAAGTGAAAGGTGATGATATAATACAACGCATTCTTAATGAAAGTAAACCTACATTAAAAGTACCTGTCAAAGAGGAACAAATAAGTGAAAATGAAAGCGATAGTGCTTCTGAAACAAGTGACGTACATAGGGTGAAATACACAAGTTGGCTCTTGAAAAAGCCAAAATTTCGTAGTTATAATCCAATACAGCTATGCAAGAACCCTGATTTTAATACACGTTTAAAAAGGTTAACAGTAGGATTCTTCTCAATTGAACGAAATAGACAACTTTTTAGTGCTTGCAAACCAGTAACAATAGATCTCCACAAAGCTTTCGAAACGAAACTTGTCAATAACACGTTGCATCTAGAAGGCTCTGAGACACCAATCATTAAACAAGAGAAAAGTGACGTTTGTGAAAATACAGCGTCAGTAATTCCATCTGCAATTCCTGTCCAGAGCTTACTTGATAATAGTAAAGTACGTGTTGAAGAATTATTACCAGCAAAAGAAGAAATTGATGTGTCCACCACACCCGTAAACAATTATTGTGTAATTGAACGAAGTAGATCTATAAATCTTCCGGATATAGAAGAAATACGTCGCGTCAATCAAAAATTATTAACAGCAGAAGTTAGTCCAATTCCTTTAAAAAATAATCTTGCATATAATAAACCACCAGTACAGTTAGTCAAACCAGCAGATGAAGATAAACCAAACAGTCATTCACTTTCGACGCCCAACACCAATCATGAAATTCCGTCAAATGTGAATGATGAAGAAAAAAAGAAACGATTTATGAAGCGGCCATTGCCGATACCAAAAATACGACCATCACGTACAGTACCATCATGGAGTGTACGTGTCCCTCAAGAAAGAATTGATGATGATGTTTTGCTTACGGAAGATACTCTCAATAAAGTACTTTGCTTGCTTAATGGTAATGACGAACCATCGCCAAAATCAAAACATAAAAAAGGAGATGACACACTGTTGAAAGAGCAAGAAGCTAATCAAGTAAAGTCAAATGAATTAAATCAAGAAAACAAACAATCAGTAAGTAATGAAAAAAATGTAAATGTACCTAGGGATCCGATAGATGAAATGGAATTGAGACCAAGTGTAGCATTCCGTCAACATTCAAATGACTCTAAAAAGAAAAGGTCTAGGAAAAATATCGCAAAACCAAATCGTACGATAGCAACACAAAGTGGATATTGCTGTTGGGCTCAATATAAAATACAAAATTTTACACAATATGGAAGAAGATTGAGACATTTATGTCCCAAACCAATTTGCAATTGCTGCTGTCGTAATCTTCTATTAAATAAAATGTTGTATCCTGAAAAATCATCAAATACAAACGTAGAAGATAGTCGTACTGAAAAACAAGGCCAGTTATCCGACAATTCATTACACAAAAATTTTGGTATAAATAAACATATCAGCGATTATGAAAATAATATTAATATTAACGCTGAAGTTCACACTGCTCCTACCACACAAGTAGTTACAATTGATAGTATAACACCTGGGGCAAGTTCTGATTCTTCAATTCAATTCCCCTTATCAAATATTACACCTGTTTCACTTGATGGTTCGCAAAGTGAAATAGAGACCAATGAAACTTTGTCAGCTTTAGTTTCTTTAAAGGAGTCATCCTTTGGTGAAGACTGTAGTTCGTTTGAAAAAGACATTATTAAACCTGTTCAAATAGAGGAGAATGTAATACAACAAAGTAAATGTATAGAAGATGTAGATGGAGAAACAAACCCAAAAAATGAAATGCTTTCAAAGACACCAAAGCGTTTAATGAAAACAAGAATAGTAAGTACTGTTAAATATTCACCTCAGTACGAAACAAAAGAAGCAGTCGGAAAGCAATCTAAAACACAGAACCTCTTTCCTGATTCTGATTCAATAAATCAGGTTGATCAGGGAATCAGAATCGAGGACTGTTCAAGTATTGAAACAATAACATTAGATGATGATGAAATTACGGATATCGCAGTAATGGCGACTAATATGGATTCTAATAACATGCTTTTACCAAAAGGCGTTAATTTAATACTCTTACCAGACAATACGTTAAGCGTCTCCGTTGATGCTGGAGTGCAAATAGATGAAGGTAGTTTAGCAAACTTACCAGAAATTCTTACAGCTGTTCAGAAGCATCTCACCGAGACGGGAATCATGCAAGTATTCCCTCAGGATGCTGTACTAAATGTTGATGACTCCTGTGAAATAAACAAGACAACTTCAATGTTAGCAACAAGTGAAACTCAAATTAAACTAGCTGAAGACAACTCTCAGAATATATCGAACTCAAATTATGAACATAGTTCTTCTGTTCCTGAAAATAGTAATTTAGAAACAAATAATCTGAAAACACCTGATGATGTGGAATTAAATAGTCAATCGGTGCTTAATATCCAGTCTAATATTACAAAACAGATAACAGGCAATAATACGGAAACTAAAGATGAAACAATAGATACTATACAAGAAAACACCTGTGGTGTAAGTATGCCAGATACTAACCGAAAAACCATATTGTCTGATTTGATGACATTGTCAGGAATTTCACCAGAAGATGCCTTTACTCCTATTGAGGAATCACCTCAATATTCAGTACCAAAACTAGTGCCTGTTTCGATTCCTTCTTCGTCTAACACGGTTATCGACAATATAAACAAAGATGACCAATCTAAACTCAAAAAGCCAATAAAAAGAATAAAGATATCTATAAGAAAAATAGAGCGCATAAACTTGCCTAAAGACAAAGAACCGGTCATTGATTTGACTAATGACTGTGATAACTCTGTTGAAGTGACAGAAAAAAGTGAGAACGACTCAGAAAACCAATCCGTGCAACCACTTATTAAGAAATATGTGGTAGATGTCAAACACCGAAAACCAAATGTAAGCAATGACGCTCAACCATTAAAACTGTTTAAAACTGTTCGACCGCGTATATTAAAAAAGGGTTTTCCGCAATTGTTACAACTCAATAATTTAGATAAAAAAGTAAAAAATGCTCTAGCCAAATTCTATCTTCCACCAAGGGGAAATCCACCTTACATTAAAATATTACCAAAAAGTGCGATTGTAAAAGATTCGACTGATACGTTGTCAGAAGAAAATTTGAAAAATTTCGATGAAGTTAGAAATTCTCGAGATAGTAAAGATAAACAAATATATGAGATTGATTCCGATTCTTCGGATGATGAGCCGCTAGCAAAAAAAGTAAAGCGCATCAAAGAGCAGCCCTCGAAAAATAGCGATGAATCTACTATCCAAATAAATAATATAACGCCTGTAGAAAAATATAACGTCCCTGTTGAGTTTATTGACGAGCCGCCACAAATAACTGATAAAACGGTATCTGAGAGTGACGGTGAAGAAAATTGCATTTTAGGTATGTAAGTAGAAACTGAATTAACAAAGTTTTGTTTTATTTATTAAGTTTCATTTTGAATCATCATATAAACACGTTGTGATGCAGCTTTTGACTTATTTGCGAATATAAAATCATGGTTTTATAAAAGAAACTTAAAGCAAAGGGTTAATTTTTGCTAGTGTATTGTAGGCATTAACAGAGAACGTACTTATTTTTTTTATATAATTAAATTCACTGGGAAACGTGCTTAGTATTTGAACGTTTACAGTCGATTCTCAAGAAGGTAGTGGAGTTGTAAGTGCTATAGCCGTAAAAACCATATCACTTATGGCTTCAACTTAACTCATTTCTAATGAAAACGGTACATACATAAAATGTTTCCACTTAAATTATTGTATCTCTTTTACCACTTTGTATTGTGTTTAAACTGAAACAGTAATATGTTTCCAATTTAAATAAAATAAAAACTTAAATCTTGTTTTCAACTGTTACATTTCAGAATACACATTTATGTATTTAGGTATGCATGTTATGCAATCCTATTTAATATTTACAAACACTGTTGTAGCCGATCGTTTTGCTTGTTATAATAACTTCGAATTTGTAAGCAGACTCAAAGTTCTGTTTTAAGATGTATAATTCTGATTGATTGAGTCAGTTTACAAATCATAACTTATACCTTATGTACTACCCGTGTGGTTAAAGAATGGGATTGAACATGGCGTCGCCTCTATTCACCTCTCACTCGCACATTGTCGCTATCTATACTCACACAAAGACTACAAATAAAATACGTTGCGATATGCGTTTTCCGTAACAAAAAACATTCAGTCCGGCATCGCTAATTTAGGGAGCTAGAGACGCGTTCTGAGAGTTTCTTTCGTAATTCTTGTTGATTTTGTTTGAAATAATATTTTTGTTTAAAATATTTACATGCCATTGAGGCATTAGTAACCATTTTAAAACGTTAAAACGTAACGTTAACGTAACGTTACACGTCTTTTTAAACGTGTTTGTTCGAGCTTATCTTCTGAATGGCTAAACCGATTGTACGAGTAATAAAACTTTACAAACAAATAGTAATACCGGGGGTGATCTAGACTAAATTTTACCCGAAAATATTATTAAAATAGAAATATTGGTAAGATAAAATCTTTGATAAAGTCTTTAATGATTATCTGATGTTTAAATAAAGCCACATTAATAGATCCCACCCAGGCGAAGTCAGAGTGGATCTTTTCAAATATTTTCCCATTAAAAGAAAATTTCCAATTTTAACAAACAATTTAAAAAAAACCGTTATTAGCGGGTTTTCGCTATTGTGCGTGTTGATAGTACGGGCTCGATGAGCCGCCATTTCTAATCCCATTCTTTATCCGTACTGACTGTATGTAAATGATACTAAAACTAAATGAGGGTACTATGTACTGGCTCGTTATTTAAAAATACGTAAGTAATGCATGTGCAGCGTCTTGTAGGTATATATAACATTTGGCTCAGATACAGAATATGTAATATTATATATTTTGTTTATTAATGTTACTTAAACTTCATATGTACCATTTATTGACGTGGCCGTTTTTTTATACTTTAAAAGTCTATTAATATTTTGTTTCCTAGTTTTTTTTTGTTTCAATGCCTGGGTACTACGTTACCAACATTAACCCCATTTTTAAATCTTAATTTTATTCGATCGATGATGAAATGTTTAATTTCGCACGAGTTTCGTCTTTCCATCTTTTGCATGGAGGAATTAGTGAAAAGTAATTATTAAATAACTATTATTTTAAGGTGTTGACTGTGATATTTAATGTTATGATAAAATGTATTTAGTGTATAGTTTAAGTAGGTATGTAAATTTTGTGTGAATTTAACCATAGGTTATAGTTTATTATAATATCTATCAAAACCTCATATTAGGTTATAATAATTTCCTGATTTCCGAAAAATCCTGCTTGTAATTTAATACTAATGAAACAACGTTTTCATATTTATTGTAAAAGAAGTTTTTATAGAAAAAAAAAACATTACGAAATATCTGAGTCTTTTTATTTTATGTACATTTTCCATAAACATCCCTGTCTACTCTGTCAGGCAAATTCTTGAAGCCTAAAGCTTCCCTTTATGCATGTTACCTGTTTGGGTTGGGTTAAAATTTTGTTTATTAGGAATACTTTACCGTCGTCGATCGGAGGCACAGGTTCTTTCACCATTTTCCCCCGCAGGGGCAACGTGGTCAATCGCTCGGGACGTCACCGTCAAGGGGTTGCTATAAGCAGTCGCAGTGCTTTGATCTACTAATTAAGCTGATGTTATAGGCAACCGAACCTAGGTTGCCTACCATTTAGGGCTACATCACTACTTACCATTAGGTGGAACTCTAGCGAAGCACTGATTTACTATGTAAATGGGGGGAGGCAATTTGCCTTATTGCCCGAGTTGTCTAAATGGCAAAGACCGACTCTGTCGTCACCAACGATACGAGACAGAGTGATGAGAGTTTTGGGAATACAGACAAATTTTCAGAGGCAGGGTTAGGTACTACTTTAAAAAAAGTAGTGATGCAACAGAAGTGGCATAACACGAGCAGAAGCGGAAACAGAAGTCAAAAGTATATTTTAGCAGAAACTGAAACGGATGCGGAAGCGGAAGTGTAAAAACTATAAAAAATACAATTTTTTACAAAGATAATTTTTTATTAAATTAATATTCAAAATTAAGTAGCGGTAACTTAGCAATTTGTTCGAGTGTTCTTCATATGTAAGACCAGCTCCGACGCTACTTGGAGGAGATGATAAATATTGGCGTACTACCAGCAAAAGAGTACGATATTTGTGTCATTTCCATTTCATTTTCACCATATAAGTACTTCTGAAGGTGTGAATTTGTCTCCAAAATTAGATTGTCACTCTCGTTGTTTGTAGTCGAGTCTCGCTTGTCTTAATTCATACTTAACATGGATTTTCCAACATTTCTAATTTTTTTTATAGGATAAGGGTGACAAACGAGCACACAGTCCACCTGATGATAAGTGGTTGCTGTGGCCCATAGACATCTAGGTGACTATCTAGGACTTCAAAATTTCATAAATGGAGTTCTATAATGATATATACTACACATGAAATAAAACTAATGTTACGGATTTTATCATGGTTAATTTTATCTTTTTTACGTGGGGTTTTTACGCATCTTCGGATGAAAGTTTCATAAAAACCCACGTAAAAGATCATAATATCGTTGATCTAAAATAACGACGCTCTGGGAAGTCTAAAGTTGTCAACATGTTTAGTATGGCCCCAACGATTATATCGGATCTGATAGACAACAAATCCTTGCAATAGAACACCGATTCCTACCAATGATGCTTCGCGAGGCTATTGAATTAAAAAAATAAACATCCTAATTTTAATAGGGAATATGACTGAGTGCTGCCATCTGCTAAGGACCCCATAATTAATAAAATTAAATTCTAACCCAAGCATAATATTCTAACTATGACATCAGGTCGTCATACACCTCAGTCCTCCCACGACCACGGGTGCTGTAAAGTGCCCGAAACATCGGGAATTAAAAAAGTTAAAATTAAACGCGATAAAATCCTTAAAATTAGTTTTATTCCTTATTAATTTTATTCACAGTGAACGTGGGAAGCTACTACACTCGAACGGGAGTAGAAAAATGTTCGCCTTGTTGTGGCGGTGAAAGAGAATCCGCCGCCTCATATCGTTCCGTCGTATGAGGCGACATAGGAAAACAAACAGGAGATGGGCAGCATCATCTCCCTGACAACAGATCAAAATTATAATAGCTGTGGTTGCCAACCCATATAGCAAATATCCAGCTACTTGACAATTTATGGAAGAGTCCTATGTTAATTTTAGTGGACTTTTACTAGGCTGACGATAATGAGTTCTACTTATCTTTGCAACTCTTAATATTTACGATAGAGTGAAAACAAAAAAGTAACATACCCGTAAATATGAATGAAATAAATACTGCATATATTGCCCCATGATAAGTAAAGACGTAACTAACAGCTTACATACATGTTACTACTGGGAACAGGCCGCAGTTTTTAGCCAAAAACGTGTTTGCTGCACTGATTCCAACGCGGGATATCCTCAACTGGGAAACTTCTCAGATATGCAGGTTTTCCTTCACCGCCAAGAACGTAAATCGATTGTAATTAAAATATAATATGCTGAAATATATAATACCACCATTCTTACGTACCATGAAATTTAAGTTTTAATCAGTTTGATTACCGCCTTTGGCAAGTAAAATAAAATGAACCTTTCTTAGATGATTGTTGACCACATCTACCTAGTAATTACACATCCAACGATGCTACGAATGAATTTTCAATTATTTACATCGTATATTCAGTAGTATTCTATTATATTTTATCAGTGTATTTATTTAGAAGTAAGTAGATGGCGCTATTATTAGATGAAATAATGAAAGACAAAACGATACTATCTATAGCAGTGGCGTAGCGTGCCTGTATCAAAATTTATTAGGGGGCCCGAATCAAGAGTGAAGATTTTTCACAAAAATATTGGTTATAAGTTATTACTTACAATTAATACTCCTAGGAAATAAACTAGCCAAACAATTCAAATCAAATATATACTATTTTACAAATATTCAATTTATTATATTATATCATTCATAGCTGAAGACGATTTCAGTTTTTCCAAATTTTCTGCCTCAATACACAATTGTGACAAGTCTGATAGATAGCCTTTCCTGCCCTATAGAAGTCCTTAGAATTTTCCCTTATACACGTTCGGGGCCCTTTAGCTTGGGGGCCCCGTATCATTGATACGGCTGATACGGCGGTAGCTACGCCACTGATCTATAGTAATATCAGTGATCGAAGGGAACATTTATTTATTATATCAATAGGGCATAAAGTGAAGTCAATTCTGTTAAGTTCTGTTTCTATAAAAAATTACGTATTTCAGCTAGCGGTGAAAAACGATTCAATGATATCGTCATATGACCGTATCATGAAATAGCAACGTTGTGTTTAGTTATTAATATCTTCAAACGACTTCAATTCATTGATATGGTCCAGCTATATAATGACATGGAAACAAACAGTTTTAATACTAAAAAACTAAACGTTAGAATTTTTAAATAATTTTAAAAATCTTATTATATAAACATATACATATATATATATATATATATATATATATATATATATATATATATATATATATATATATATAAGCTATTTACATTTATTTAATTTAAAGGCATTGAAGGCAAAATATACTACTTTTTTCATTTAATGATAGATGGCGCTGTTTTGATAACTAAATCGGTGTAGTTCCAAATTATTTTACCAAGGTTATAACTATATTTTAAACTTTATTTATAAATTTGGAAAACACCCGTCATCCCGCCTATAACTAAGATGGAATAGAAAATGAATATCCAAATGAAGACCAATACTAAACCTTCGTTTTTTGAAGTTCCGTAATCGGATAAAAAGTAGCCTATAAATTGCCCCGGGTTACTAACTACCTACATACACAATTCCATGTAAATCCGACCAATAGTTATTGCGTGAAAAAATTCTAAAAACTTCAGAGCCCTTTATTTAGGCCCCTGGACTTGTTTTTTCAAGAATAATTACAAACACTACTTTTCTATAGATTTATTATATGAATAGATTAACATTATTTATCTTATGATAACATTAAAAGCCTTTACAGCTGCTTTTTCTATCTCCTTGTGCACTTCATTGACTTCAGCCTGTTTAAGGGTACGTTCTAAGTGTCTATAAATAATGCTGTAGCATAGACTATGTTTCTTTGATTTTGGATGTACAAATTTATCCTTGAGCTTCACCTGCAATGCAAAGTAATACGGTTATAATAACACATCTCTTTAAAAATGGCAAGGATTATAAAAATCTTCAAATACTTCAACCAAGCTGTAATTTTTACATTTTTAGTGATCAATGTAATTTTTTTTTTATAGTATAAGGGTGATAAACTATCTAGTTCACTTGATAGTAAGTTTATGCTATGGTCCATAGACAACTATTATCGATTAAGAATCTAAATGCAGATGCCTTGTCTTGTTTTGTTAAGATGATATGTCTCAATCCAGTTTTCTACACTCACTATCCGAAACACAGCCTTATTCTACTGTTTTACTCTAGTATTCTGTGAGAACATAGGTCCTAACCCGGTCAAGCCAACCCATTTACCTCGTGGCAAGAGTAATTAAATTAATATATACAGTTACAGGTTGTAGGGCCAATAGGTTAGAGACGCAGACGTGTGGGCAGATCACAGGTCTTGAGGACTCCGATAGATGGCGCTATAATAAACATAAAAACCTAAAAATATACAAAATATCTGTGAGCGTATTTTGGTATCGCTATATTATTATAGAATTATGAAACAATGAAAAATAAAATTTAATTGAATAGGGGCCACCAGCTAACTCATCAATTTTTTTGTTTTACACTGATCAATGGAAACAATTATTTTACACAGCTTTTATATGTAAAGACTTAGCAATTACTCGACAAATGCATCAAAACTGCAATATGACAACTGTTAGTACAAAAACTGCAGTGCTGGCGCCGGGATATTTGACTACACTTTCTGTTTTTGTGTAGTAAGAAGATAACCTTAGGAATCTTTCCATTTTTATATGTTGTACAAACAATAACCAAGACTATAAAAAATAAAATACCTGTTCTATAATATCTCCTCCAACATCTCTCACTAAGTCGTAAAAATCATTGCTAGTAAATGTGTCAATAGTTAGGTTGGGAGGAAGCCAAAATGAGATATCATTTACACACTGAGGATAAGATGACACAGGTTTGTATGTAATTCTTTCATTTAATGCCTTATCCTCAAACTGTGATAAGAAACCAGAATCTTTACTCCACATTAATCGAATGTCTGGAATTTTATATAATGCCATAGCAATTCTTTCTAATCCCAAACCAAATGCATATGCTATTGTATTATTTGGCCCGGCATTTGCCAATATTTCATTACGTACAATACCACAGCCCAAAACTTCCAACCAATTGTTTTCGTAAAAGATTTCTAGTTCCCAAGATGGATGTGTAAATGGAAAATATGCTTCAACCCATCTGTGTTTTATATTATCACCAAACAGCGTTTGCACTAAACCAATAAGGTGGTTTTTAAGCTGTGCCTCCATTAGCTTTGTGGCTTCCAATGTATGGCAACTCTGTTTATTGGGGTCTTTTATAGAATTTGTGAATATATGAGGGTTTTGTGGATCAAATGTTGGTTCAAACAGTTCCAAATCTGGAAAATCTTGAAACAACTGTTCTTTACGTTGAGACCGTACTGCATCTATCTAAAAATAATATAAGATAATATGAAAAATTCTGCAAAATCAATATTCCTTGTCTATAATACTTAATATAAGTATCAGGTCCTTACCTAAGAATTTGCCATTTTCTAATACTGCCAATATTTTGGCTTGAACTGAATATTAATATACAAATTTCTAATTCAATACTAAATAATAATTTAAATTTTATATTAGAGACATTGTTATAAAAAATCAGTTTTTATATTACACACATCAGCTAAATCAGGGTTTTTGAGTTGATTTGAGTATTGAGCCCCAATGTGAAGCTTGTCTTTGTTGAATAACAAATTAAGGATTTCTATAACAAACTATAACCCAATGGCAAAATGTTTTGTGGAAATCTAGTCAATTGCCTTAGTCATGTGGATGCCACAGGGATGTGACAAAACTCATTCATACAGAGTAAAATTACTAGAGCTTCGACAAATAACACTTCATCATCCTCTGAACTCATCAAGCCTTACTGCTACTAATTTATTTGAATATTTACAAAGATAATTCCTTCCATCACCAGGATTTTTATTACGTTAACAATAGTAACTGATACTGTGATTAATGAAAAAAATATTTTTTATAATAATGGCAGTTTCATAGGTAAGAACCTAAAATAACTATTGGTGCATAACTAGTATTACTTTCAACTAAGCCTTTATCAGAAAATGATATTTTCAGATTTTTAAAACAATAATATTTAAAGGTTTAATAATATGAGCTAATTATAAGCATCGGTAAAACTATAGATATCTGGTATTCGCATACTAGGGGAGGGCGTGAGGGGAGGGGTGTGGGGGGTTCAGGGGAAGCCTACTACCCTTCCCCTCTTGCGAAAATGTTTCAAAACACATTTCCGAAATCCAAAAACAGTATAAAAGGTTCAAACTTAACCCTGACAAGCATCCTAAACAGAAAACATAATTGAATCAAGTACTGGATATCTATAGTCAACCTTGAGCAACAAATGAATGCTTTCAGCATTTGTCCATTCTGTTTTTTTCTATAAAGTACCATTTTGTGTAAGTTGTTTATGTTATTTTTATACAAGTTATCATCTTAATCCCTGGTAATAAAGCAGTAATTAAAAGTAATTTTGAAACAAACACACTAATTAGAAACTATTATAACAAGTTAAAAAATTAAATTACTTGATGAAATACTGGAAAATGTGTTGAATCAATTTCGTCCCTTCTGTACACATCACCTATCATAAGGAAGTTATCCAGCCCTGAACGAAGAAGTTCACTCTGGTGAGCAGTCATGTGTGCCCGTAGCAACGTCTTGCGATTAATATAATAACAATCAGATTTAGTCCTGCTTGGATGGTTTTCTGGTATCAACAAATCATCGAAATTTTGTTTTGTCGTGACCACAGGAGATAGATTTTCATACACACTAAAAGTCGGATTACCTCTATGCGTAAAAGAGGAATAAAAATAATTCACAATTCGTTGCCGAACTAAAGATAAGGGGTTGTCTTTTTTTAAATGCAAATTACGATTCAAATACGATAAAATCTTTGGAGTCACATTCGTGTAATCATCAGTAACGTACTCTTTATTATTTAATTTAATGGTTGCTATTGCATTAGGTGCAGTAGCATAATTACATTTATTTAATTGTAAGCAAGACACACGAAAATTTCTAAAAAATATTTTTGTCATATTGCCGCACCAGATATTTTAATATTTCCCTTTACTTGTTTTTAATCTGAGTTTTTAAGTAAACTATCTAACATTGAATGGTGGTTGGCTACAGTTATTTTAAGTTATTTTAATTACTATATATCTTTATAATCAAAAAAATCCGTCCCTATAGGAAATTCGGATTTTGGCATTTTGGTTTGTTTAATTGACATTTAAGGCTAGCCAGACACACGCAATAATATTGTCAATGCAAGATTGTCAAAAATCTTCATCAATATATGGTCCCGCACACTACGCAATATTATTGGCAATTTTTCATGGTACAATCTGACTTTTTATAGTCGCTCTGCAGCTAGATTCATGTGTGCACGTTTAATATAATGGATAGAAAGAAAAAAGGCGTTACATTGATTATTGCATTAATTTTACTAACTAAGAAAGGGCAATCAAGAAAGAAACCATGGATTAATCTTTTTTTTTTCATTCATTTTTTTTCTATACTTCTCTCGTGCTATTTCGTTTGATTTTTTTTTATAAATATCGAACAACTTATCAAGCGCATTATTTTTTCTATCTTTATCGCGAGATGCTTCGCAGGATGTATTGCATAATTCTGGATAAGTTTCCCATGTTTTAACAAATATTGCTTTTCCGTGAGAGTACTATCATCAACAGTATCAACACTATTTTCACTGTTTTCGTCCTCCATTTTGAACAAAAACGAACGTCCGCCTGCCTTGAAATCTTTTCCTCAACTAAAATTTTGCCGAGTGACCGCAAACGACAATATTATTGACAATACCCCTGCCTCCACCCAATATTGATGTGACAAAATCAGAATTTCTGGATATCAACAATAATATTGAACAATATCGCAATACAGGCCGCACATACACAATATTATTGACAATACGTACTTTATTGTCAATAATATTGTGTGTGTGTGTGTGTGGCTAGCCTAAGGCTAGCCGCACACACACAATAATATTGTCAATGCAAGATTGTCAAAAATCTTCATCAATATATGGTCCCGCACACTATGCAATATTATTGGCAATTTTTCATGGTACAATCTGACTTAGTCGCTCTGCAGCTAGATTCATGTGTGCACGTTTAATATAATGGATAGAAAGAAAAAAGGCGTTGCATTGAGTATTGCATTAATTTTACTAACTAAGAAAAGGCAATCAAGAAAGAAACGATGGATTAAGGACTGGATGAGAAAAAAAGCCGAGTTAAATCACTTTAATCTAATAAATGAACTACGAGTTACAGAAGAAAATGATTTCAAAAATTATATGAGAATGAGAGATAGCAGCTTTCAAAAACTATTATCTTTAGTTTCACCTTATTTAAAGAAAAAAGATACACACATGAGAAAATCGCTAACGCCTGAAGAAAAGTTGGCAGTTACTTTACGCTTTTTAGCGACTGGCAGAAGTTTTGAAGACTTGAAGTTATCAACTTTATTATCCCCAAGGGCTATAAGCGGAGCAGTTCTGGACACTTGTAACACGTTAATTTACGTCTTGCAAGATTATTTAAAAGTAAGTAATAATTAAATATTTAAACATCTAAGCTATGTATTTGGTAATCACTAGATACTTAGATAATAATAATTATACTATCAATGCTATGTATGTGTATTTTGCTGTTTTTTGCAATAAATACACTTTGTTTTTGATTTGAACTAAAACAAATAAAATATTATAATCCTTTTATTAATACAAGTAGTACTTGGTAATAAATTGTAGTTTTTATTAATATATTTACAAAACACTTATTAGGACTGAAAAAAATTTGAAATATCTTCTTTTGGAGTATACTTGGCATGTACGTCGCCTTCAAATGTTATAACATTAGAAGTTATATTATTATTTTGTTTATTTTCTTGTGATATTGTGTCTTGTGGACCATACCCAAACTGTTGCAATCGTGTCAGTGGATGCCTTAATATTATTTGAGATGGAATATCGGTGGTTACAATTGGTTGATGGTGACTTTGAGTCTTGGACAATATCTGTGGAGGTTTCATAGTAATAGTATTATCAATATTATGTTCATTGTTATATATAGAATGTGGCGAAGGTGTTAAATTGTATCTCAAAATTGAATCTTGTGTGCTTGGTGATTGACTAGGTGATGGAATATAGTTTACTCTGGGATGATATAGTGACTGTCTAGGCAGCAAAGGCGATGAAGTATATGGTACATGCTCATTAACTTTCACTGAGTTTTTGTTTAATTTTCCAAGTTGTGCCTCAAATAAAATATCGTTAATTGCCTTTTCCGCAAAAAGTTTTTGTGTAGACTCCAGTTTTGTCAATTTAGCGGCCCAGACTTTGGCAAGATGATATTCTTCTTGATTATCAGAAGAATCCTTCTCAAAAAACGATAAAGTCCTCTGTAAAAGGTTTTGCTGGTCATTTTCCTTTTTTCTTTTCTTATTTTCCGATACTGGAGTTGGAGGTGGATCCATTGAGCTAATCGAATAGCTATATTGGTCTTGATCATTTTCTTTGTCTTCCTGTAATATATAAAGACAAGTAAATAAAATGTTAATAACAAGTTATGATAATGTTTATTTCTTTTATTGTTTTAGACACCTTCAACACAGCAAGAGTGGAGAGAAGTGGCCGATGATTTTGGACGCATTCATGGATTCTCTACATGCTTAGGCTCGCTAGATGGCAAGCACGTGGGGATTATTATGCCCAAAAATGCAGGCTCACGTTACTTTAATTATAAAGGATTCCATAGTATAATTTTATTGGCTTTAGTAAATGCTCGTAAAGAATTTATGTTGGTTGATGTTGATATCAATGGTCGGATATCTGATGGTGGAGTCCTGTTCTATTCAAAATTTTGGCAGTCTTACGAACAAAGTCTACTTAACTTGCCTAACCCAATTAATCTTTCAAACATGACACACTTATTTCCTTACGTATTTGTGGCTGATGAAGCGTTCGCTTTGGGCCCAAATTTGATGAAGCCATACTCACAGAAAAACTGCAGCTCTAATGAGCTGATATTCAATCAAAAATTATCAAGGGCTCGATCAACGGTTGAGTGTGCTTTTGGTATCTTGGATCTGGATAAGTTTCCCATGTTTTAATAAATATTGACAAATATTGATTTTGCGTGAGAATACTAATATCAACATTGTTTTCGTCCTCCATTTTGAATAAAAAACGAACGTCCGCCTTCCTTGAAATCTTTTCCTCAACTAAAATATTGCCGCGCGCCCGCAAACGGCAATATTATTGACAATACCCCTGCCTCCCCCCGATATTGACGAGACAAAATCAGAATTTCTGGATATCAACAATATTATTGAACAATATCGCAATACAGGCCGCACACGCACAATATTATTGACAATACGTACTTTTATTGTCAATATTATTGCGTGTGTGTGGCTAGCCTAAGCATTTGAGATTTGATTGACATTTCACATTTAGGCCGGCCACATACATACGGAATTCCATTTCGGAATCCCGAATCGGTATTCCGTGAATACATCACACACACACGTTTTTTTCCGTTCGGGGTAAAAATATAACAAGGGTCAGTTGAGAGACATTAGCCATTGAGTCTAGACATTCTGCCAGCGAATAATGACGACGATTTTCTAATTGCAAATTCCATTGTTGCTGTATCATTCTTACTAGGTGCATCCCCTTATCACCCTAAGCTTGCAATATAGTCAATACTATGTAAAAAGATCTATCTATCCAGAGATATTTTTTAAATATTTATGTATGTAAATTCTATCGACGAATTATTAAATAAAATAAGATGAAAGGTTACGAAAAGCTATACACCTACAAGATTAAATGTAAAAACATACATAAATACACCTCGCGTCGGTCGTGCGACGAACACTGAGCGCATTCCGTACGGAATTTACGTATGTGTGTTGCGACTCGTACAAAATCTATGGAAGACGTGCGTTCGGAGCGGCTTTTTTCCGTTCGGGATCCCGAACGCACAGGCGATCATACGGAATCTCGAATCGGAGAAATTCCGTACGGAAAAATAACGTACGTGTGTGGCGGGTCATAGATTTTATATGGACTTGCTGCGTTCGGAATCCCGAATCGGAATATCGAAACGGAATCTCGAAACGGAATTCCGTATGTATGTGGCCGGCCTTAAAGCGAGTCACAAACATAGATATAATATCTATGGTCACAAGCAACGAAGATACAGCAATATGTTATCTGCGCATAAAAACATAATTATAATACCCCATTTACACTCTCGCGCGAGCGACGAGGCGAGTCGCGAGACGAACCACGAGGCGCGAGTGTAAACGCTAGCTCGTGGCTCGCCTCGCAGCTCGCCTCGCCACTCGCAGCGCTCGCGTCGGAGGCGGTTTTTTGGGCACGAGGCAAAGGGCCTCGCGAGGGACGAGAGCGTGGTGTTTACACTCGCGCTCTCGTTTCAGTTTGTTTACGGCGCCCTTCCGTGCAGGTTGTGTTGTTTTGTTAGGTTTACACGTTCGACTTCAATTAAAATTGGACTAGTCGCAAGAAGAAACGCTGCAGTTCTTGGAACTCTATCAAGCTGAGAGAATAATTGGGAATCCAAAACATATTATGCATAAAAATACCCAAAAAGTAAATGATGTGTGGAATAGAGTTTCCGAGGTTATATGCAGACCGCTAGCAGAGCTCAAAGTAAAAAAGAATTCGCTTACGGCTACCTTTCGTCAACACCTACGAAGAAAAAAGCAATCTATGAAATCTTTGAAAAAAATCTATGATTTTTTTTAATTTCCTTCTTTTCAAAATGGTAGAGCATCGATAAATATTTATTAAGGCAAGAGTTGATGCCGCTATTATTTCAACGTCTTCCATCGTTGCTGGCTCAACGCAAACTGACCTCATCGCGAGAGTATAAACAGGCACTCGTTACCTCGCAACAACACGCGAGCTGCGAGGCGAGGTACGAGGCGAGGCGCGAGGCGAAAGTCTAAATGAGGTATCAGAAAATAATTCATACAGAGTGTTACC